GGGAGATGCAATGATTCGTATCTACTCTAACACTCCTCCTATCAGTGCATCAAAAAAAAAAAATACTAATAATCACCAAAATAAATGTATCATACTGTTTGTACCATCACCTGATGTAAAACGGTCGCAGACAAAAAAAAAAGTAGTTTTCCTATAATCTTATCGTTATCTTAATCCTAATAACTTTACGCATTTGTCATGTTTGGTTTTAGTTAAAGATTTTGTTAGTAGATCGGCTATCATTCTATCAGTAGGCAAATAGTTAATGCTAATTTCGCCTCTATCTCTAATTTCTCGCGAAAAATGGTATCTAATGTCCACGTGTTTACTTCTGCTGTGAAAAACATGGTTTTTGTTTAATTCTATTGCACTCTGATTGTCGCAATACACTTCGGTCGCGCCTACTATGCATGACATAAAACCCATATGTTTTAATAAACGCCTTAAGTATATTATTTCTTTACATACTTCCGATAATGACATATACTCGGCTTCCATCGTAGATAACGCCACAGACTTCTGTTTCTTTGATTCCCAGCTTATCGGGCCACTAGCTAACATAATTACGTTTCCACTACATGACTTACGGTCATCCGCGTCGCCTGCCCAGTCCGAATCTACGTAAGCTCGCATCTTCTTACAATTTTTAGTGTACGTTATACCATAATCGACAGTGTGCTGCAAATATCGAAGTGCCCTCTTTGCAAGTTTCCAATGAGCCTCCTTGGGATCCGTGCAGAAACGGCTCAGTGCACCTGCAGTAAATCCTAGATCTGGACGCGTAGTGTTAGCTAAATAAATTAAACTACCTATTAATTCTCTATATGGTTTGTTTTTCATGTTCATCCTTTCTTCTTCTGTGGTTTGCCCCATTTCTCTCGTTAATTTCTGATTTGGATCAAGTGGAGTCGAGATGGGTTTACAGTTTTCCATGCCAAATCTTTGCAGTATATCGGTAATGTACTTTGTTTGTGTTAACTTCATCTTACCCGTAGGTCCGTCTCTTTCTATGTTTATTCCAAGGATGTTATTCACGGGGCCTAAATCATTCATCTGAAACTTATTACTTAAGATTTCTTTCATTTTATCTAATTCGCGAATGTTTTTAGATGCTAAAAGTAAGTCGTCTACATATACTATTACAATTACTTTACTACCTTCGTTATTACTTACATATACGCAGGGATCTACATCGCTATTTGACATATTTATTTCTTTTAGGTACGTATCTAATTTTTCATACCAACAGCGGCCTGCTTGTTTCAGTCCGTAGAGCGGTCTCTTTAACAGGCAAACCTTATCTTCTTGTCCTTTAACCTCAAAAGCTTCGGGTTGTTCCATGTATATCTCATCTGGTAAGTCACCTTGTATGTAAGCAGTCACGACGTCCATTTGGTGCGCATGCATCTCCTCCTGAACGCATCCAGCGAGAAAAGCTCGAATCGTTTCAAATCTCGCTACAGGTGCGAAGATTTCTTCGTAGTCCACGCCTCGTCTCTGTTCGCAGCCACGCGCCACCAAACGTGCTTTGTATCTGTTTGTTGATCCGTCTTGATTCCTTTTTATTTTGAATACCCACCGATTGGATAGTACTTTCTGATCTTTGGGTCGTGGCACAAGTATCCATGTTCCATACTTCATTAGGGAATCGTACTCGGATTGCATAGCATCTAGTCATTCTTGTCGGTCAGCTCTATTATTGATTTCTTCCTCGTTGGACGGTTCACCTAACTCCTTGGGTTCTTCTCCATATTTTCTTTCGTGGAATAATTTTCTTGGTCTGCCCTTTCTTCCTGTCTTCAATAATTTTGGTCGGCCCGGGCCTCTTCTTGAAATTCTTGGAGTGTCGACCTGCTGATCTTCTTCGAAATCCTCTTCTTCAGATGGATCTTGTTGAGAGTTTGCGTCACTATTTGTTTCTTCATCCCTTTTATGAATGACGGTTGGTTTCCTCTGCTGGCTCTCGGGCGATTCTGTTGATGTGTTCCAGGATGAGTTCAGT